TTTGAATGTGCAGCAGAAAAAGAGACTATAATTTGTTGTAATGTTATTTCAACATGTTGAAATCACTTTGAAGTTTTCAGTTTGTGTGCTTGAAGAATGCAGTTTTATGTAAGTGTTATTAGATATGACTTATCTGTGATTTTTAAGGGATTTAAACGTGATATGACAGCTGAAGGGAGTTGTGTGTGCTAGTGAAAGAGACTTTAAATACTCAAGACTGAATAGAGGACTTGACAGTGCTGTTGCATGGCAAGAAATAACTTCACAATAACAGGGGTAGTTCCCCAGCCTACAAGTAGCACAGATTTTCTGTTGCTTTATTGTTCCGTTTTGCCAGGAGCATGCTTTCTGCTCAGCGTATGCTGTAGATGGCAGTAAGGTTATGCTAGAAAAGGTTACACAGGCTGGAATAACTAAATTAAAGGATGTGTATAAAATCTATGGATGGTTTCAGGTTTTGAATCTAAGCCACCTATTTATAGCAGCTCTGATACTTACTTGAAGCACCTCCAGAAAGGACTGGTTATTGTTTGTCACTTCTGGTAAAGACCAGGACTGCTTTTTCTTTCCATTTAGTTTCACTCTGTCTGAATATGTTTTGATTTGATTAAAAGCAAGAAGACATCATTGCAGTTTATCAAAGCAGATGTGAAACATGGCAGTGTGTGAATTCACAGACCATTAAGATATTCTCTCCTTTTCATGGCGTGGGGTGTGAATCCATTGTGAGTGACACTCATAGCCCTGGGATTTTGCGACTATCCCTGTATTCCCAAAGTTTTCAATGGCTCTCTTTCTCCTCTGTGCTTGCATACAGAAGAAACAAATTAGGACATGGTGTTCCTGGCATAGCAGGTCCCCTCTGGTGAGGTCTGCCAGGGTTAAGAGTAAAGCGTGGTGCATGCTGAGCAGTGTCCCACTCCTGAGACCTTTCTTTCAGCCATGCTAACCCCAAAGGCCCATAACTCGAGAGGGCCTCCTCAGCCTTCCCAAATAATTTTCATCCAACTCTGAAATGCTGACTATAGTTTGCTTTCCTCATTTCCTGGATTGTCCCTGCTGGCTGATGCTTCTTTTTCCATTATAACTCTTCAGCTTCCCATGGTACTCTCTCCTTGCTTCCTGTAAATGTGTTCTCCTGTTGCTCTTCCTCTCATGAGCACCTTCCCCAGGCAGAGGTCTAGTGATCAAAATATTGTCCTCGTGCCTTTCCTTGGATGTGGTGGTGTAAGCTCACAGATTGTCATGGCTCTGGACTTGGCTATTCTTTTGGCTTCATACACGTCTGTATATATGGAAATGACGGGGTCATGGCTCTGGACTTGGCTATTCCTTTGGCTTCATACACGTCTGTATATATGGAAAGCAGAGTCTGGGAGAATTGAACAATTATTAGAGACTTATTGCCCATGAAACATCAGTTGCAGACTATTGGCCCACTGTAAACACCCATTACATGAATGAGATCACAGGAATGCTGCTGTTAAACCTGAGGCTCTATCTTTCTCTCCCTGCTTGAAGTCAAGGACTGAGTCCCAGTGTCCCAGCAGTGCTGTCCTCACTGGCTTTTCTGAGTTCCCTTAAGGGCTTTGCTTTAGCCGCAGAAAAGAGATCTTCTGGTGTCACTTCCACCCCAGTGACAGAAGAGCCAGTGTATACTCAGCCCCATGTTGCATCAGTTCTCCTGCTTTGGTCCAAGTGTGCTCCTCCTTATTACTCCTTTTTCTCCTCACTGTGTATTAAATTCATGTGTTCTTTCCACCTTGCTATGGGCACTTATCAGCCCTCACCATAGGGGTTAATAGTGCTGCCATTCTTAATGAAATCAGTTGCTTGTAAGGAGATGGTTGTGCAGTCTCTTGTGAGGAAATGACCATGTTTTGATTTCTTCGCAGCCATTACCAAAAAAACCCCCTTTGTGGTGATGACAGGGACTCTGTCACATTATGTGGGAATATGTGATGTTAACTCTAAGGAAGTATCCCACAACAAAGCACATCCTTGCCTTCCAGAGATGGGAAATACATCTAATCCCTGACCACTATTTTCAAAAATGTAAAAAAAAAAAATATAAATCCTTAATGTCCAGTTTCTCTTTTTGCTTGCACTTAAATTAAGTCCTCTGCATAATTTTAGATTATCCGTATCATTTACAGCAAGTAAACAGATATAGCTTCATAGTGGAATCACCTGTAGATGTAGGATTTCATGCTTCATTAATATTTATTACAGTCTACAGCTCACTTTTTTTTCCTTACTGGAAAGGTATACAAAAGCCTTCTGTATCCAGCAACAAAATAGTAAAATACCATAACTATCATAACCAACTTTTAAGATAATTCCTGAAGCAGATGTTCACAAACAGACAATTTTTATTAAAATAACAGTGGGAAGGAGTTTGCTTTTGTTTGTTTGGCCCTCGAGGAAATTAAAAAGCCTTTCTATAATTTTTATTATAACTCCAAGAGAGGATTTTATTGTACCAAGGATGTGGTTGCATGAAGGATGTAAACCTTCAGGGTCTAAAACCTATTTTTAAAAGCTACAAGTTGAACTTCTCTTGTTAATCTTAGGAAACTAAGTTCTGTGGCAATTTTTTTTTCTAATGTGCAGAACATGTAGGTCTGTTATAAAAACTGATAATAGAAAAAGGCACCCACTTAAACATATCTGCTCCCTGAGCCTATGTAAAGAGTATCTGCAGATTGTTGTGACAAGAATAAATACCTATGATTAATCCTACTGGGGCAGAGCAATGGAGAAGTAGTAGGTTGTTACGCTTTTTTTTTTTTCATTATCAATATTATATCCATTTTAGACCATGAAAATCTAGGTAAACTTTTCCTATTGTCTTCAAGTCTCCATTGAATATTGGCATCAATGATGAAATTTCACTGGAATTTTATGATGGTGCTATCTTGAGGATGTCTTCTCAAAATACATCCCTTGCACTGATATAGCTTGTAGGTACAAGAAAAAAATTACTAGTAATTATATTTTTCTGCTAAAGAAAGAACTTAATTTGACTTTTAGAGCAAGTTTGAAGAACAGGGAACTAGAGAAACTCTTCTTTAATTCTCTTTTTCTTAATCCTTGCGTATGGTCTTCTGAAAGATACTAGGAGGTGAGGGAGACATGGTCCTCCAAAATTCAACAGTGTCCCTTTTGTGAGGTGTTTTTTCTGAACAGAACCACCATTATCCATGCGTTCGCATGTATTGAGCAGCAGATAAAGCTTTGCTTATGGTGAATGGGAAAGAGACTATGTCCATAGTCTGTGCACAAGACTATGAATAAGTGACTTTTGAGGTCTACTTCCAGTTATTCGTGGGGACCTCTGTAAAACTAAGATTTATGTGTATGTCTACCTATTGTGTATTTATAAAGTGGTTGCAGTTGTGCATGTAATGTGCATCTATGCACTCAGCAGGGTACACCTATCTCTAGATTAATAGCGTGCCCCAGGGTTATGGCCCAGTAAAGGGGCTTGTTAGACCATGTTGCAGCTTCAGTGTCCTTTGCACAGATGCCAAGCAGCAGAGGTGAGGAGTGGTGAGAGGATGGTGTGTGTCCGGTGTCACCTTGCTGTGAATTCAGGATGTGGTTGGAGGTACTGGCAAGGGCCTGGGCTCTGCTGGAGAAGCACGTGTGGCAGTTTGAACAAGCTGCCTTGCAGGCTCCTGTGAGTTAAAATGTACTTGGAAGAAAATTAAAGTCACTGAAGAACTGAAACTAAAAAGCCCAATTTAACAGCAACTTAGTAGTGACAAAACAGCACAAAATATCCCTAGATATAGCCAGTTTGGGAATAAAGGGTTGAAATAACTGGTTGATAAAGAAAGACTAAAGCATCATGTTTTACCCAGCAGGAGTAAGAAAACAGGTTTAGAGTAGTAGGAATAACATAAATGTTTAATTATTATGAACGAAATATTGATCCAATGGTCTTAATAGTGGGCTGCTATTTGTTAGAGGAGTTATTCTTGAATGCTTACCAAAGTCTGTTATTAAAATCATTTTTGTTTATTTGAAAGAAGTAAAAAGCCAGGGTTATGAGAGGTTTTTATCCAAACATGCATCTCTTTCACTAAGTACTAGGGTTCAGGAAACAAGAAGATATGCAGAAGTGATTATCAACCCTGCAGCATCTTGAAAGCTTATGGAGGATTTACTGTTGATGCTCTGTGTTTTGAGGGATCAGGCTTGTATTTGCCTTCTGAGCTGCAGATCACACAATGGGTAGCAATGGGACAAGGGAAATCATTTAGCAAAAAGAAGAGTCCTTAGCTATCAGTGTCCTCCAAAGCCTCTTAGCATAAACGATCCTTAAATAGAAAATTTGCGACCTGAACTTAGAATGCTTGCTGGCAGGAAGAGGAGTTCCTGTGGCTGCACAGCGGTGGGCTGACACTTCTGGGGCCAGGTGTGCCAAAACGGCGACAGAGCTCCTCAGAGCAGTGGTGGAGCACTTGCGATGGACAGTAGACCCCGCTGGCTTTTCTGGAAGCGGGTTTCTTATGAAAAAAGCTTATAGTTGGAATTTGGATGCTGGGAGGTGGCCGTACACCTCTGGTGTTTTGTGCAGTTGTGGACACTGAGAGCACAGTTCATAAAACTCTGGCAACATTTACTCAGGACCCAAGCTTTAGATTGAGTGGCTTTAGGTTCTGATCCACATTTTGCATTGGTCATTATATGAAACCAATAAACCTGGTCTGGGTTAATTAGAAATACTCTATTTGCGTTTTTTAAAAGATGATGTTTCAATACAGGAGGACTCAGAGCACTTCATCTATAAGGAGCAGAGCACTCATGAAGATTTAGGACTCAGATTGATCTCATTTATTGGTGTGAACAAGGAGCTATGATTCCAGATTGGCACTAGGAGAAATTAGATATCAACACCTGTGCTATTTTTTTCTGCACACTGATTTCTGATGAGGTAAGTTTCAATGTAATGATACTGTTACTTATTACTGTCATCTCTTCTTGATTTGCAGATGGGCTTCTTCCGCCGGAGGTACAAAGAAATTATTGAGGCCGAAAAGAGCAGAAAGGAGAATGAAGATAGTTGGGACTGGGTCCAGAAAAATCAGTGAACTGCCTGCGAAAACTACAGCCCAGTCATGTGACACGCGCTTGCTAGCCTGTAGGTCCTGCTCTCGTATCTTCCATATGTGGAAGAAGGAATCTTCTCCAGATTTTTCGGAGACCCCATTGATGCTGTGTCTTTATCACTCCAGCAAGCTAGGGAACATATCCTGAGGCAACCACTGCGGCCATGTCAGGTGACTGGATCAATTCACATTTCATTTAAGAGCTGAACTTTGAACTTTGGTAACTAAGCTGCAGTGCAGAGCAATATTTATGAATCCAACTATGTGGTATACCCTCAGGGGAAGACTGTTACCTAAGAATATTTTTTATAAATATAAGCTTTCTATATTGATTATGTCTTTATATTTGTATCAATGTTTTATAGTTTCTATTGAATAGCTATATAGTTCACTCAAGCACTGATATCTGGCTAAATCCTTGGAAATACATATATGTATATATAAATCCTATTGTACTTTTAAACTTAAATACAAGAGAGAAAAGAGATTTTCAGATAAAAGTAGCTGAAATCCTCATACACTTAATTCACAAGGCTTGGCAATGTCGTATATAGACCATTTAATGGCAATAAGCCAAAATCTTTTCACTGTCTTCTTTTTTCGAGTTGAATGTGGTGTTTGATTTATAAACTAAAGAACCTAAAAGTATTACACAAGTGTGATGTTCTGGATCAGAATCTGTCCTTTACCTGCCTGAATAGGAGAGGATGAAAACCCTTCCTTGGTGACATGTAGCAAAACCTGTAGCTTGCTTTGGCTCACTGAAGAAGGCATCATAGAATGTTTTCCTTTGGGAAATTTTCTCTTGCAGGCTCTCGTACTTTGATAATGGTCTAGGACTGTGCAGTTGAGATACCAGAAGGATATAATTGGGCCAACCACTATGGCATTGACAAATTGCTTTGAATTTAAAAAAGATATAAAACAAATAGAGCCATATTAATATTAATGTTAAGAAGGACAGTTTTTAAGCTACTGTTAATGATCGTGATCTGTTGCTGTCAAAGCAAGTGCTAAATTGCTACAAGCTATGAGCATATGCCTGCCTTGTGAGTTTTATACACGAGTCATGAGTTTGTTATATGATAATTTAAAGAGAGATAAGTAGATGCAAGGGTTAAAAAGTTTGGATCTTTGGATCTTGATATTCCGTATCTGGGTGTTCCAAGTACTGAATGTCATCCTTCCTCAAGCATCAAGAAAGAAGTTTAGTCAAGGTGCAGACGTTACTGATTGCCACTTTGTTCACTGGTAATCCCTTAGCAAATCTTTTGTTGAATTAGGAGGACCTTAGTTGGAGTTAATTCAACCACATTTTTTCAAAAAGTTCTTGGATATCTGAATAGAAATAGTGGAACTCTGTAAGATTCGGTTTTAAATTCTATTTGTACTTTGCACCTTGTGTAAATAAGAAGTAAATGTCCTCTTGATATAAAATCCATGTAAGGAAAAGATGGGTCAAGCTCTGTGGTAGAAGGTGAAGGAGAAACAGGAATGAATGTCTCCTTCCATAAGGGTAAGGTAAAAGAACTGCTGGAAGTTTGGAAACTTGAACACAGACAACATGCAAGACATCTGCTTAAGATCTGCTTAAGAACAGGTCTTATCCTTGCTCTTCCTTGCCAAATACCTTATAGCTTCAAATTTTAAAAAATTAACCACATCCTTATACCTGTTTGCTTTTTCCCCCACTGGCATTAAGTGCCTGCTATTACTACAGAATTGATCAATATTTATTAACCTAACTATCTACACCCATTAGGCAGAAGATGTTTTTTAAGTGAATTAAGTGCATTGATTCAATGTTTGACAAGAAAGGCTATTAGTCTATTCAGTTATGTTTTTTTTTTTTAAATAATCATTGGTGATTTGACAGAATTCATATAATAAATGATCATTTAAGCTAGAATCTGAAAAAAACCTGCTGAGGTGAAATTCTGTTATAACCACTTGTAGAGAACTGCAGAGTTTTCATCAGAGTGCAAAACCCAAAAGGTTTATGGCCTTCGCACTGATCTGTTAGAGGCTGTTGAATTCCTCACAGTATGATATTTCTGACATCAGTTAGTTTTGCTAGTATTTAAACCTAACTTATGTATTTTTTCTGTTGTTGAAAAATACCTAAGACTGACAGGTAGAAGTTGGACATGAGATTGATTCACAACTATGAATCATATAAGAAATTGCTTAAAATGCTGGAAAAAAAAGTCCATTTATTTAGCTGTAAGAATTTTCAGTATATGCCCTCTCTAAAACTGACCACCCAAAAATTATTTTAAAAAATATTAAATTTGCTGATAAAATAATTCAGGGGACAAGTGAAACTGTTTGTGAATTTAACTGAATTTGAAAGTTTCCATTAAAAAAAAAAGTAAGAAATTCCCTTTGAGACGTTTAAATGCCTCATTTCCACTTTTTAAACAAAAATTTACTTTCAAATCTGCCAAAAATATTTCATTACAATATTTTGAAAATCAAAATCAGTTATTCCTTTGAAACATCTTTTAAAGTATATGAAGAAAAGAGTTAAAAAAGGGAAAATACCTATTTAGCATTTCATATTGTGTTGGACAATTATTTAGGTTTTTTTGACTCAAGGCAAAAAGATTTTTCTTGGTTAAAGTAAAAAACAAAAACAAATCCCATTTGATTGAGCCCACACTGGACATTTTGATCTCTGACTTGAATTGTCTACTCTTGATTCAGCACATGTTGTCACTCAGTGAAAATCTAGTTGTTGGCTAGATTAGTGACACGTTCTTGAAATAATCTTTAAATTCTTAGTACCATCACTGTTAGGTACTCAGTAGTTCTGTTGTCACAAATGCTTTTGGTTTTATATGTATACTCTTCATAATTTTTTTCTTTTCCTTTTTTTTTCCATTGTGGCTCTTCCTTGGTTCACATTTGTCAATGAAACATAACGTTTCATTTGTCAATGAAACATTACACTACTTCATGTTAAAATCCTGTAGACACACCTTTCCACTCCTTAAAAAGCAACCAAACATGCCAAACAAAAAATCTCCCCAATACCAGTTGATTGCAGTCAATTTTGAACCCCAAAATCTTACAAAATCATAGTATACTTCAAGAATGTGTAAAAAATAGCTGTGCTATAGATCTGCTGTGGTGGGTTTTTTTTAAAATAAACTGTAAAAAATGTAATCATATCAAAATCTAGAGACATAGTTACTTTGGGAATTGCTTCCAGAGCTCTGGGAGTTCCCATCTGTCAGTTGCTCTCTAGCTCCTTTGTGCTGCACCCCTTGCGCAGCTCAGCTGGGAGGGAAATCATTGTGCCCAGTTTTCTCCAGTTAGTCTATTTAACTACAAAGTCATCAATTGTCTTGAACAACCTCATTGAAAGGTTTGATGAATCGGCATTGCATTTATTATATGTTTTTTTCAGCAGACTCACTTTGCACTGGCTCTAAGCTATGCAGGTGGATGCTCGGAAGTGGGGCAGTAACATTTTCAAACGCACCATCTGGCATCTGAGGCATCTTTTGTTTAAGCCATGAAGCTTGCGATGTACAGGGTACCTTCTTACAGAGAGTACCCTTGAAGTTGCTTTTAGGGTAGTTTGAAAATCTCAAAAATATAATCAGGAAGAAAGGGGTATGGGTGTGAAATTCAGGGAAAAATCACCTAATGCAGTGCCCATGCTGTTGCAATTCCATTTAACTTCCATCTTGAATTCAAGAAGATCACAGTCATTTCAGAGTTTTGGTGGGCAACAGCACAGGGGTGAATTTCACTTCCCGGGAGCTGAGAGCATGTGCCACCTTTCACAGCATATTTTATGACTGTTTAATTTGAAAACCAAGGGTCTGGAGGTGAATTCCCATCAGTTCACCCCAAGCAACAGCAAGGCTAGCATGCTCCGAGGCTGTCATAGAATCATAGAATTGCCCAGGCCAGAAGGGACCTCCAAAGGCCATCTAGTCCGACCTCCCCGCAGTCAGCAGGGACACCCCCAACTAGACCAGGTTGCCCAGGGCCTCATCGAGCCTCTCCTTGAATATCTCCAGGGAAGGGGCCTCAACCACCTCCCTGGGCAACCTGTTCCAGTGCTCCACCACCCTCACAGTGAAGAACCCTCTCCTCATCTCCAGTCTAAATCTGTTCCCCTCCAGCTTAAAGCCATTTCCCCTCATCCTGTCACTGCAGGCCTTTCTAAACAGGTTCTCCCCAGCCTTCCTGTAGGCTCCCTTCAGGTACTGGAAGGCTGCTATTAGGTCTCCCCGGAGCCTCCTCTTCTCCAGGCTGAACAACCCCAGCTCCCTCAGCCTGTCCTCGTAGCAGGACATCCCCCTGATCATCCTTGTGGCCCTCCTCTGGACCCGCTCCATCAGGTCCATGTCCTTCTTGTATTGAGGGCTCCAGACCTGCACACAATACTCCAGGTGAGGTCTCACCAGTCACTAGTATGGTCTGGCACTTGACCATTGTAGCTAACAGGAGTAATCACAGAATCGTCATGATTGGAAAGGACCGCTGAGATCACTGAGTCCAGCCTTACACACACAGAAAACCCCCACAATCGCGGGCACTAGGGCAGGCCCTGAAGAGCCACGTCTACATGTTTCTTAAATACCTCCAGGGATGGTGACTCCACCACCTCCCTGGGCAGGCTCTTCCAGTGTCTGACCACTCTTTGAGTAGTCTTCCTAGTATCTAATCTAAACCTCCCCTGCTGCAACTTCAGAGCACTTCCTCTGGTCCTGTCATTATTCCCTTGGGAGAAGAGGCCAACACCCACTAATATCTATGTATGTCTGAATAAACCTTATTTTTAATTTGCTTAATTACAATTAGGAAGTCAGCAAACTGTAGAAAATACTGAAGCCACCTCTGAATTGAAGTCACCTGACAATTCACTTGGATTATCTGAGAGAGAAATTGTGCTTGATGTGAACCCCAAGCCTGTAAATCACTTAAACAATCCTTTCATCTCAAAGTGGCAAAGGCTTTTGCAGTGCCGAGCATACCAGTGAGGACAACCCTCTCTACTGTGACACGTGAATGGGAAGGACCCTACTTACAAGTCAGTGATATGCAGCTAACTAGGCTTACTGAAGGCAACAGCTGCACAAAGGGGATGTTTGGCAAAATTTGGTATCGACTTTCTTGAATGTCTTCTGTTTATAGGCACATTTTGGAGTCTTGCACAAGTTTCAAGCATGGTATGGGTGGGGTGTGGGCTATACAACATTGCTTTCACTAAAGGATTAAGGGAGTCATGGAACTAATTTCTGCCTTTGTCCAAGTTCATCCACTTGGTAAGGTTTCTTTGATATAAATGAAAGTAGGACTTGGTTCATTTAGTGTGCATTGATTAAACTGGCATGAAGACTATAATTGCTTTTGGAGCATGGTTTGCATACACAGTAGGGTACCTGCACCATTGTCACTCCTTTTTCTTAGACTGTCACTCCTTATGTATTGTAAAATTGTATGTTTCTTTTTGTGAACTTGTGGTTGGAAGAATGTGTTCACTCTTATTGATGTCACCTGTATTTAGAAGCTCGTGTTCACCTGTATTCTAATTCACTTGCACTGTTTTGGAAATGTCAGGTTTACAAAAATACAACTTTTTGGAATAAAAAGTGGCTGCAAAATTATCCTGATCATATAATTTTTTT